CTATCAACAGTCTGCATTATGCAGATGACACAACCCTGCTTGCTGAAACTGAGGAGGACCTGAAATGCTTGCTGCAGAGCGTCAAGGACTGCAGCCTTCAATATGGATTGAGGCTCAATATCAAGAAGACAAAGATTCTCACCACTGGACCAATTGGCAGCATCAGGGTGGATGATGAAGAGATTGAGATTGTTCACAGCTTTAGTTTGCTTGTCTCCACATTCAACACTCTTAGCACCAATAGCCAGGAAATTAAAAGATGTATTTCAATGGGAAAGTCTGCTGTTAAGGACCTCTCCAAAGTACTGAAGAGCAGTGGTGTCTCTTTGGAGACTAAGGTGCATCTGATACAGGCCATGGTCTTTGCTATCACTTGTTAAACATCAGAGAGTTGGACAATGACTAGGGAGTATAGAAGGGGAATTGATGCCTTTGAGCTGTGGTGCTGGAGAAGAGTATTGAGGATATCATGGACCGCTAGGAAAACAAACAGATTCATCCTGGAGAGGATTAAACCAGGTGGCTCCTTGGAGGCAAGGATTCTGAGGCTTTGTCTAACATACTTTGGACATGTTTTAAGGAGGGACCGGTCCTTGTAGAGGGACATCATGCTTGGTAGATTGGATGGACAGCGCAGGAGGGGAAGGCCCTCTATGAGGTGGATTGATTCAGTGACTGGGGTAATTGAAATGGGTGCATCAGAGACAGTGTGATTGGTAAAGGACAGACTAGAGTTTAGGGCTGTTGTACATAGGGTCGCTATGAGTCGCAAGTGACTCGACGACACATAACAACAACAAACTCAATAACAAGTAATTTGCTTTTTACTGCTTCTCTTACATTTTTCCAATAAACTAATTTGCATAGGGAATTTTGACCATCAGAACTGAGTTAATTACAGTATCTTAAAGACTAAAACAAATTTTAAAAATGTTTAAAACATGCAGCTTACAGAGATGAAATAACTTCCAAGTCAAGCAGATTAAAAATCTATACATGTAGAGTTAAGACACATATCTCTTCACTCCTGTTAATATTGTTAGAATAATTTCTTGAGTGGCATCAGGATTTATCAACAACCTGCATTATGCAGATGACACAGTCCTGCTTGCTGACACTGAGGGGGATCTGAAGCACTTGCTGCAGAGGGTCAATGACTGCAACCTTCAATATGGATTGAAGCTCAACATCAAGAAAACAAAGGTTCTCACCACTGGGCCAATTGGCAGCATCATTATGGATAGTGAAGAGATTGAGATTGTTAACAGTTTTAGTTTGCTTGGTTCCACAATCAGCACTCTTGGTACCAGCAGCCAGGCAATCAAGAGATGAATTGCATTGGGAAATCAGCTGTCAAGGACTTCTCCAGAGTACGGAATAGCAACAACATCAGGCTGGAGACTAACTTGTGCCTGATCCAGGCCATAGTCTTCACAAGTGTGTGCTATATGTCAGAGAGTTAGACAGTGAATAGGGATGATAGAAAGAGAATTGATGCCTTTGAGCTGTCGTGCTGGAGAAGAGTATTTAATATACCATAGACTGCTCGGAGAACTAACAAGTTTGACCTGGGGAGGATGAAATGTAGTTGCTCCTTGGAGTCAAGGATTCTGGAGCTTTGTCTGACATACTTTAGGCATGTTACAAGGAGGGACCAGTCCTTGGAGAGGGACATCATGTTTGGGAGGGTGGAGGGACAGCGCAAGAGAGGAATACCCTCAGTGAGATGGACGGATTCAGAGATTGTGGTAATGGGAGTAGGCGTGTCAGAGACAGAGAGGTTGGCACAAGATAGAGCAGGGTTGAGGGCTCTTGTACATAGGGTCACTATGAGTTGCAAGTGACTTGAGAGCACTGACAACTCCCTTTGCGTACAAGTATTTTGAAATCTGAATTTTTCCATACCGAAGAGAGTGATAGAATTTGATTATGATGAATTAATAAGGGAAAAATCTCACTGAAAATGAATCTTCCAGTAGTTTAACTAATTTATCAGTAAAATATTAACAAGTAGAAATTTTTAAAGAAAAAAATTAGGAAGCGATTAATGATTTAAATTTACTTTCTTAGCAATATGTCTAAATTTGAAGAAATAGCATTTACAATACAGTGGTTTTATAACTATAAAAACATTTTCTGCATTAAAAATTGTATATTTTTAAAAGTTTCCAAAATCCAATAAGTAAGATGTGTGAGTAGGAAATGTTTTTGCAAATATACTTTAGAAAAAAATTAAGAATTGTTTTCAAGTTATCGCATGTTTATTTCTAGTAGGTAGGAGTCCTAGTACACAGATGGTGATCACTGTTTTTTAAAATAAGGTCTTCTTTTTATTTAATTTTTTTAAGAGTTGTGGCCAGTTTATGTGGAATTGACTAATGAAAAGATCTATGGCTGTGATTTCATTATCAGTGCTACAGGAGTCACTCCAAACATAGAACCTTTTGTCCATGGCAACAATGTAAGGAAATTTTTTCAGCTATAGATATTTTATAAAGTTTTAATTCTTTCTGAAGATTGCTAATTCTCTGAGTTAATTTTTAATTGCATTAATACATAACTTCAACTGTCTAAAAACAATATGGTTATACATTTATGGATTTGTGGTATCATTTGCTATTTAATATTTTTTAAGCAGTTAGTATTCCATCATGAATTCCATCATTAATGGAAATGATACATAATTCTTTTATCTAAGGGTTGATAAGAGACTGGCACCACATACAAATTCTGAAAAAGTTCCTCTTTTCATCTTGTATTTGCTTTCTAGCATTTGAATTTTTTCTTTCCAAAAAAGAATATCTTAAAGCTGTCACTGACATAATCAAATTATTGGGTACATTTTATGCTAAAATTTGAAGACTTGGGGGTCTGTCTTTCTAGAAATTTAATTTGATGGAAATTCAGTATACATGTCTAAGCTTTCCAGCTCTTTTTCATATTCTTGTTAAACATCATGAGGACATCACAGTGTAAACATTTGACTTGTACTGCTGTTGTACAATGACAAAGTCCTATTTAGTTTTACTAGCACTTGTGTTTATGAAGAACATTGTTTAGTTTGATTTAGGACAAGACGGTGGCCTTCAAGTAGATGATCATATGCACACATCACTTCCTGATGTCTATGCTGCTGGCGATATCTGCACTGCATCGTGGCAGCCAAGCCCTGTATGGCAGCAGGTAAGCAACTGCTACCAGCAAGTCTAATTTTCTGACTATCAGATTGGATTGGTGAGTACAAATGTAAAGGCTCCATCCAAGTGGTGTGAAGTATTGTCAGATATTGAATTTCTTTAAAACAATTTCTTTATAAGCTAAGATGGTAACATTTTTCAAATAATGGTAATGAAAAATGATACTGCATAATGTTTTTTTTTCACTTATTTCAGATGAGGTTGTGGACCCAGGCAAGACAGATGGGATGGTATGCAGCAAAATGTATGGCTGCAGATACTTTGGGAGAGACTATTGACATAGATTTCAGCTTTGAACTTTTTGCTCATGTAACAAAATTTTTTAACTATAAGGTAAGATAAGCAAATTGCTGCTTTTTTCTGTTTGTTGAGATCTCATATTCTTAGTAAAAATTCATTAAATTAATAGTAAAAAATTATGTTGTTGTTGTTGTTATGTGCCATCGAGTCGCTTGCGACTCATAGCGACCCTGTGTACAAGAGCTCTATACACTCTTCTATCCTGTGCCAACCTAGCCATCTCAAACGCACTTATTCCCACTGCTCCAGTCACAGAATCGATCCATCTCACCAAAGGTCTTCCTCTCCTTCGCCTCCCCTCCACTCTGCCAAACATGATGCCCCTCTCCAAGGACCAGTCCCTCCTTGCAACATGCCCAAAATATGTCAGACAAAGCTTCAGAATCCTTGACTCCAGGGAACACTCTGGCTTCACCCTCTCCAGGACAAACCTGTTTGTTCTAGCAGTCCATGGTATATTCAACACTCTTCTCCAGCACCACAGCTCAAAGGCATCAATCCTCTTTCTATCAACCCTATTCACTGTCCAACTCTCTGATGCATAGCACATAATTGCGAAGACTATAACCTGGATCAGGTGCACCTTAGTCTCCAGCCTGACATCGTTGCTCTTAAGTACTCTTGAGAGGTCCCTCACAGCCGACTTTCCCAATGCAAATTCGTCTCCTGATTTCCTGGCTGCTGTTACCAAGAGTGTTGACTGTGGAGCCAAGTAAATTAAAACTGTTAACTATCTCAATCTCTTCACCATCCATACTGATGCTGCCAATTGGCCCAGTGGTTAGAATCTTTGATTTCTTGACATTTAGCTTCAGTCCATATAGGAGGCTGTAGTCCTTGATCTTCTGCAGCAAGTGCCTCAGGTCCTCCTCGGTTTAAGCAAGCAGGGTTGTGTCATCTGTATAATGCAGGTTGTTGATGATTCTTCCACCAATCCTGATGCCACATTGCTCTTCGTACAGCCCAGCGTCTCAGATGATCTGTTTCACATACAGATTGAAAAGGTATGGAGACAGAGTACATCCCTGATGAACCCCCTTCTTGATTTTTGAACCATGTAGTGTCTTCTTGCTCTGTTCTGACAACTGCCTTTTGGTCCAAGTGTAAGTTTCTCATTAGCACATGTTTTATTATTTAAGTCAGTAATTGTTGTTATGTGCCATCGAGTTGCTTGCAACTTATTGCAACCCTATGTATAATAGCTCTGAACTGTGTCCTATCCGGAGCCAATCTCACTGCTTCTGACACACCTAACCCTATTACTCCCATTGCTATATCAATCCATCGCCTCCTTGGTCTTCCTCTCTTGAGCTGTCCCCTCAATCCTTCCAAGCATGATGTCCTTCTCCAAGGACTGGTCCCTCCTGGCAACATGCCCAAAGAATGTGAGACAGATCTTCAAAATCCTGCATCTAAGGAACAATTGGTTCATTTTCTCCAGGACAAACCTGGAAGAGTCTCCAGCACAACTCAAAGGCATCGATTCTTCATCTTTCATCCTTATTCATTGTCCAGCTCTCTGATGCAAAGAAAATAATTGCAAAGACCTTGGTTTTGATCAGGCGTACCTTAGTCTCTAGCTGACATCGTTGCTCTTTAGTACTCTGGAGAAGTCTCTGGCAGCAAATTTTTCTAAATACAATTCATCTTCTGATTTCCTGACTGCTGGTGCCAAGGGTGTTGTTGATTGTGGATCTGAGCAAGCTGAAATTGTTAACAATCTCAGTCTCATTCTCAATCTATCATGGTGCTGCCAGTTGGACCAGTGGTGAGAATCTTCGTTTTCTTGATGTTGAATTTCAATCCATATTGAAGACTGCAGTCCTTGACCTTTTTCAGCAAATGTTTCAAGTCCTCTTCAGTTTCGTCAAGCAAGGTTGTGTCATCTGCAGATGACATAATGCAAATTGTTAATGACTCTTCTTCAATCTTAGTGTCCCATTTCTCCTCAGAAAGTCCAGTCTCCCAAATGATCTGCTCAGCATATAGGTTAAAAAGGTATGGAGACAGGATGCATCCCAGATGCACTGCTTTCCTGATTTTGAACAATGAAGTATTCCGTTGCTACTTTAACAACTGCTTCTTGGTCCAGGGATAGGCTATGCTTGAGGACAGTCAGGTGTTCTGGGATTTCCATTCTTCTCAATGTTAGTCAAAATTTATTGTAATCCACACAGTCAAATGTTTTTGCATAGTCAATTAAACACAGATAGATATTCCTCTCATACTTTCTGCTCTCATTGAAGAGCCATCCATCATTGGCTCTGATATCCCTAGTGCCACGACCTCTTTTAAACCCAGCTTGTTTTTCTTGGAGTTCTGCTCTAGGGTTTTTCTTATAATCCTCAGCAGGATTTTGTTTGCATGTGATATTAGTGATGTTGTTGTTGTTGTTACGTGCTGTCAAGTTGCCTGTAAGTCGTAGCAACCCTATATACAACAGCTCTGAAGTCTTCCCTGTCCTGAGCCAGTCTCCTTGACTCTGACACACCTAGACCCAATGGCCCAGTTACTGTATCAGTCTCTCTCATCTGGAGCCATCCTCTCCTGTGTCATCCCTCTACCCTTTCAAGCATGATGTCCTTCTCCAGGGACCATTCCTTCCTGGCCACGTGCCCAAAGTATGTGAGATGGCACTTCAAAATCCTAGCCTCCAAGATAAAATTGGTTTCACCTTCTCCAAGACAGACTTGTTTGTTTTCTTGGCACTCCATGGTGTGTTTAAGACTCTTCTCCAGCACTGCAACTCAAAGGCATCAATTCTTTAGTCATTGTCTAGCTCTCTGGTGCATAACACATAATTGATAAGATCATGGCCTGAATCAGGCACACCTTAGTCTGATATCATTGTTTCTCAGTACTTTAGAGAGGTCTCCAACAGCAGATTTTCCTAGTGTATTTCATCTTTTGATTTCCTGACTGCTGGTGCCAAGAGTGTTGATTGTGGAACAGAGCAAGCTTAAATTGTTAAAAACCTCAATCTCTTCTCCATCATCATGGTGCTACAAATTATACCAGTGGTGAGAATCTTTGTTTTCTTGATGTTGAGCTTCAATCTATAGTGAAGACTACAGTTTTTGACCTTCTGCAGCAAGCATTTCAGATCCTTCTCACTTTCAGCAAGCAAGGTTGTATCATCTACATAACATAGGTTGTTGATGAGTCATCCTCCACTCCTGATACCACATTCCTCATCAGAAAGCCCAGACTCCCCAGTGATCTGTTCTGCATATGGATTGAAAAGGTCTAGAGACTGGATGTGTCCCTGACTCACTTCTTTCCTCCTTGCTCTGTTCTGAGGACTGCTTTCTGGTTTGAGTATAGGTTTCACATGAGTACAATATTCTATAATTTTCACATTCTGTTGGATCACCATTTTTTGGAATGGGAATACAGCTAGTCAATTGTCCAGGTAGTTGTCCTCCAGATTTCTTGGCATGGTAAGCCTGATAATAGGTTCAGGGCTAAAATATTTGTTGAATTATGTATCATTTGGCATTTCTTCAGTTTCTGGGGCCTGTTTTTTTGCTAGTTCCTTCAGAGCTGGTTGAACTTCCATCATCATCACCATTACCTCTTGGTCATATGTTGTTTCATGAAAATCCTCTGTGTCATTCAATTCTTTTTGGTACAGTGAATCTGTGTATTCTTTCCATCTTCTTTTGATGCTTCCTGGGTCATTCAATATTCTGCCCATAGCATCCTTAAGTATTCCAACTCAAAGCATGAGTTTGTTCTTCAGTTCCTTTAGCTTAAGAAATGCTGAGTGAGTTCTGTCCCTTTTGATTTTCTGACTCCAGCTCTCTGCACATTTCATTATAATACTTACCTTAATCCTTTCGAGCTCCCTTTGGAAATTTCTGTTTAGTTCCTTAATTTCCTGATCCTCCCCCCCATTCACTTTGGCATCTCAGCATCCTAGTGCAATATTCAGAGTCTCCTCTGACATCCATCTCAGTGTTTTCTTCCTCCTTTGTCTTTGTAATGATCTATTGCATTCTTTGTGGATAGGGGCAGGGCTAGGAAGTCAGTACCTGGTTATAATTCTTAAGCTATCTAATAACACTACTCATCTTCACATTACACTATTTTCAGTTAAGGGAGGAAATCTCAAGATTTGTCCCCTTTTGACACATTTCTGTGTTTTGAACGTTATCCTTTCTTTCTGAAGAGAACTAACAGCTAGCTGTTGCACACAGGAAGAGACCAGTGCCTTTCATATACTTATACTGTTAAGTTATATTTTTATATGGTAAGCAGGCTTTTTCTTTCTATTACAGAGATAAGGAAAATATAAACTCAAAGATACACACAGAAAACAGAGGGAGATCAAGTAATTTTCCCAGGGAAGAGCTCTCTTCCTTTTGAAAAAAAATATTTTTAAACCATACCTCCAATTTATTTCCTTTATATCTATTTATTTAGACACTCGATTTTTAGCATTCATATGGATTGTGTGGTAGTATTATCTGTGGAATACATCCACTAGAGATTTTTTCTGTTTCTATAGATCATGTCCATAATGACGTATACTTATAAAATTTTTAAATGGATTTTTCTCAAATAACGCAAAATAGCTACATACTGTGTCTCCTTTTTAGTACTTATTTCTTTTTCTTTTTTAAATCTTTACACATAGGTTGTGTTACTGGGAAAATACAATGCACAAGGCTTGGGTTCAGATCATGAATTAATGCTGAGATGTACCAAAGGACAAGAATACGTCAAAGTTGTCATGCAGAATGGCCGAATGATGGGAGCAATCTTAATTGGTGAAACAGATTTGGAAGAAACATTTGAAAATCTTATTCTAAATCAGATGAATCTTTCTTCATATGGAGAAGACCTGCTAGATCCAAACATTGATATAGAAGATTATTTTGACTGAAACAGACATTTCAGGAAACACATAAAATTCTAAATAAGACAAATCACAAGCCAATAAATTGAGTGACTACAGTGGTTTGGCAGATGTGAAGGGTTATCGTGGTGGAGGGTGGAGCTGGGAAGTAAGTGGGTCAAGGCACTGGGCTAAGGGTGGGGTCAACACTGTAACTAATGCTTAACTCCACAATAAGGGATTTATCTTTAACTGCTCCACAAATTGCTTGTCTGACAGATACTCCTCTCAATCTGAACATTCAGA